TGTCTCTGGTGAATCCTCTCACCACCCCTGCACCATTGCCTAAACCCCAGGTCTGTATGAATAAATAAATAAATCTTTAAAATTTTTCAATTTTTTGAATGGGTGATACAGTGGTAAGATGCAAAAATATAAACAATGTGAAATTTTATATGCTAAACGATCTTGCTTCTACCTCTTCCACAGTTAATAATTTTAAGTTTTCCCCCATGTATCCTTTCCTTGTTTCATTGTGCAAATCAAGCAAATTGTATACCTCTGTATTTCTTCCACTTCTTACATAAAGACAAAGTATATTAAATATACAAGTTTGGTATTTTGCTTTTGCATTTAACAACATATCTTGGGTATCTTCCCATATATCAGTATGGGAGTATATCAATCCATAGACGCCTATTCTCTTCTAAAGCTGTACAATATTATATAGGATAAATATACTATTGCAAAGATTGTACCAGTCTGGCTTTTTGGAAGATTTACCAGACTCCTCTGAGTTTGCACACATAGGTTTTATTTAAAGACAAAGGATAAGGTACAAGAAGAGAAAGAAATATAGGTAAGGCCTAGTAGTCAGAGAGATATCCACATACAAGATCCCAATGGCCCATTTTTGCATAAGGGGACCAAGCTGTGTCACTGTGTAAAACCACAAAGGTCTGTGAGAGGAATCTTGTTTACAGAAAGCTCAAAGGAGAAATCCTTAGAGAGGCCCTTAAAGTAAGCAACCCAGACTTGTCAGGCCCATTAATGGTGTTGCAAATCATCAACAAAGAAACTAACCTAAAGTTCTTCAAGGAGAATTTCAGACCTAATCATCACATCATAACTGACTGAGTCGAACACTAGATTTTCAGAAGTAAAGCAGAATAAGGAATATTCTCCATGAAAGCAGTGTGAATACTGGAACAATGGAAACCAGTGGAATACTTTCAACAATCCAGGGAGTATTTGCTTGAGAAAAACATCCAAATCAGGGCCCTCCCTAGTGGCACAATGGGTTAAAGTGCAGCACTATGAAGCAATCCACAGCCACTGCAGCATGAGTTCGATCCCCTGCCAGGGAGCGGACCCACATGGCACTGCAGACCTCTCCTGACCCGCCCGCTGCTCCCCTCAGCAGTGTACTTTGTCGATCTGCCTGTTCTGCTCCCCACTCTGTCTCTGGTGAAGCCTTTCACACCCCCATACTTCTGGCCTGTATTCCAGTTCTTGTATGCATACATAATAAATACATCCTTAAAAAAGAAAAAACATCCAAATCTCAGTTAAACAAAACAAAACAAAACAAATGAAAGAAAGGAAAAGAAAGTGAGCTTCAGGAATTATATCAACTTGCTTTATTCTCATTTCTTTCATTAGCCTTACCAACATATCTCG